AACTGGATTCAGCTGCCTATTCTGGTATGGAGAGGATCAAAGTGAAGTAATGCTTTTCTGTCAAAGTGTCCTAAATATGCATTTGATCTTTTTTTCTTATGGATTTATATTCCAGCTAGTTAATAAGAAAACACTCAAATTTGTATGTGTGTCTCTATGCATATAAAGACTCCACTGGCATATATACAACAAGAGTAAATGCCAATTTTCCAGGAATTAAACACAGGGTAAAATGCCCTTTCTACTCAATGCAGAAAAATCTACTTTCCAGAACACATCTTGCTGTACAATAGGATCTATGATCAGTGATACTTGTGTTTTCACCCCTCAGTGACCTAAGATTCATCTTTACAAATATTTCCAATACAACTTTGCCCAGCTGTGGTTTAGAAGTGGAATAGGAATACTCTAAGAGACATTACACTGCACAGAAGGAGAATACAACACGGCTGCTGGAGCCCTGAAGTTGGAACAGTGTTCATAAAGTGATTCTAAATGCTCGAGCAGGTAGAACATTTCAAACCTCTTCATTTCTTTCCTTTTCCTTCCTTCCTGAGAAATTTCTGCTATGCAGTCCAATTACCTGGGGCTATATCTATGTACTGAGGCTAATTAGTTAAAAATACAGCAATGAAATCTCCCCAAGCCTGCAATTAAGATACTATACTAATCTCAGTCAATAACTTCATTCTGTTTGTTTTTCATCGTGGAATAAAGATAAAGTGATGAACGGTAATCTTGAGGTCTAATCCTCTTTAATCCTACAGACTCCAGTCTAAGGAAATGAGGAGGCACACTTCTCCTTGCTGTCCTGCCATGTCTCACCTCTGACTTAGAGCAATCAGCTCCAAGAGAGTGCCAATTAGCAACTATGGTCTTTGGTCTCATTACTTCTTGCTACCAGAAGTTAGTAACAAATTACATGGATAGCTGACCCTAGGAGTTGAATAGAAAGTATCAGTAGTTTTGACAGAGATTTATAAAAGTAATTTACAAACCATGGCCACAAAACTGTGATGCAAACCTCCAGGGTTCCATATCTTCATGATGTTCAGTCATTTATAACCTATATAAGGTGAAACTCAACCCTGATGGTGGAAAATGGGCATAAGTTTTAGCAGTTCTGAGTTTTAAGTGGAGCTTGAAATAATTGACCTCTTACTGGCTTCTTTATAAAGATAAAAGAATTCCACAAAGATAAAAGCAGGGATTTTTACTATATTACAGACTCATCTTGAGATCAAAGCTCTGTTGTTTGTTTGCTAGACCTTTAAATTAGTCATGGCTTTTGGAAAGTCTAAATCCATCCGGCGATGAGGAAGAACTGGTAGAATGAGCAAAGAAGGTTCAGCACCTTTTCCTGCATGTGCTCTGCCTCCTCCCACTTTGGTGCACCTCTATAAGGGGATGGGAAGACAAGCTCTGCCTACTTTAAACAGAGATGCAGTACTGCTGCAGTCCCGATGGATGACAGCTGTGTTGAGGACTTTGATGAGCTCTGTGTTTAAGTGTTGCAGGCCCAGGCGACACAACACTCAATCCTGAATGTAAATCATGTACAGAAGTTAACTAGCTAAGGCACCAGCTGCAAAATTTGACCACTTGTGAATACAGTGACTTGGATCGTTTTCACCCTGCACTCTTATTCACCCTTTATTAAAATTAATTTAGTGGTGAAATTCAAAATAATATAATTTAGCCTTTGCACTGTGGTATAGTAAAAATTACTTGTAGCTGTTTTCTAATTATTTCCACTTCCATATAACAGCAGTGACAGCTTACTGCAACAGAAAAAAAAAAAAAAAAAAAAAAAAAAAAAAAAAAAAAAAAAAAAAAAAAAAAAAAAAAAAAAAAAAAAAAAAAAAAAAAAAAAAAAAAAAAAAAAAAAAA